GTGGACGTGGACGTGGACGTGGAAATGGACGTGGACGGTGGACGTAGAAATGGACGTAGACGTGGACGTGGACGTGGACATGGGACGTGGACGTGGACATGGACGTGGAGGTAGACGTGGAATGGACGTGGACGTGGACGTGGACATGGACGTGGACGTGGACGTGGACATGGAAGTGGACATAGACGTGGACATGGACGTGGACGTGGACATGGACGTGGACGTGGACATGGACGTGGACGTGGACGTGGACGTGGACATGGACGTGGACGTGGACGTGGACGTGGACGTGGACATGGACATGGACATGGACGTGGACGTGGACGTGGACGTGGACGTTAGGGTTTAGGGTTTAGGGTTTAGGTTTAGGGTTAGGGTTTAGACGTGGACGTGGACAGGACGTGGACGTGGACGTAGAAGTGGACGTGGACATGGACGTGGACTGTGGACTGGGACGTGGACGTGGACGTAGAAATGAACGTGGACTGTGACGTGGACGTGCACATGGAAATGGACGTGGACATGGACGTGGACGTGGACGTGAATGTGGACGTGGACGTGGACGTTGGACATGGACGTGGACGTGGGCGTGGACAGGACGTGGACGTGGACGTGGACGTGGACGTGGACATGGACGTGGACATGGACGTGGACATGGACATGGACGTGGACGTGGACGTGGACGTGGACGTAGAAATGAACGTGGACGTGGACGTGGACGTGGCACATGGAAATGGACGTGGACATGGACGTGGACGTGGACGTGAACGTGGACGTGGACGTGGACGTGGACATGGACGTGGACGTGGACGTGGGCGTGGACATGGACGTGGACGTGGACATGGACGTGGTCGTGGTCGTGGACATGGACGTGGACGTGGTCGTGGACGTGGACGTGGACGTGGAACGTGGACGTGGACATGGACGTGGACGTGGGACGTGGACGTGGACGTGGACATGGACATGGACGTGGACGTGGACGTGGACGTGGACGTAGTAGAAATGGACGTGGACGTAGACGTGGACATGGACATGGACGTGGACGTGGACGTGGACGTTGGACTGGACGTGGACGTAAGAAATGAACGTGGACGTGGACGTGGACGTGCACATGGAAATGGACGTGGACATGGACGTGGACGTGGACGTGAACGTGGACGTGGACGTGGACGTGGACATGGACGTGGACGTGGGCGTGTGGACATGGACGTGGACGTGGACGTGGACGTGGACGTAGACATGGACGTGGACATGGACGTGGACATGGACATGGACGTGGACGTGGACGTGGACGTGGCGTAGAATATGAACGTGGACGTGGACTGTGGACGTGCACATGGAAATGGACGTGGACATGGACGTGGACTGTGAAAGTGGACGTCGACGTGGACGTGGACATGGACGTGGACGTGGACGTGGGCGTGGACATGGACGTGGACGTGGACATGGACGTGGTCGTGGTCGTGGACCATGGACGTGGACGTGGTCGTGGAACGTGGACGTGGACGTGGACGTGGACGTGGAAGTGGACGTGGTGGAGGACGTGGACGTGGACGTGGACCTGGACATGGACGTGGACGTGGACGTGGACGTGGACATGGACGTGGACGTGGACATGGACATGGACGTGGACGTGGACATGGACATGGACGTGGACGTGGACGTGGACCTGGACGTGGACGTGGACGTGGACATGGACGTGGACATGGACGTGGACGTGGACCTGGACGTAGACCTGGACGTAGACGTGGACCTGGACGTGGACCTGGACGTGGACGTGGACGTGGACTTGGACTGTGGACGTGGACGTGGACATGGACGTGGACGTGCACATGGACGTGGACGTGGACATGGACGTAGACATGGACGTGGGCGTGGACGTGGGACATGGACGTGGACGTAGACGTGGACGTGGACGTGGACGTGGACGTGGACGTGGACGTGGACATGGACGTGGACGTGGACGTGGACGTGGACGTGGACATGACGTGGACGTGGACGTGGACGTGGACTGGACATGGACATGGACCGTGGACGTGGACGTGGACGTGGACATGGACGTGGACGTGGACGTGGACGTGGACGTGGACGTGGACATGGACGTAGATGTGGACATGGACATGGACGTAGACGTGGACCGGTGGACGTGGACGAGGACATGGACTGTGGACATGGACGTGGACGTGGACGTGGACGTGGACATGGACGTGGACGTGGACGTAGAAATGGACGCGGACGTAGACGTGGACATGAACATGGACGTAGACGTGGTCGTGGACGTGGACGTGGACGTGGACATGGACATGGACATGGACATGGACGTGGACGTGGCACGTGGACGTGGACAAGACGTGGACGTGGACGTCGACGTGGACGTGGACGTAGACGTGGACGTGGACGTGGACGTGGACGTAGACATGGACGTGGACATGGACGTGGACTTGGACGTGGACGTGGGACATGGACGTGGACGTGGACATGGTGGACGTGGACTTGGACGTGGACGTGGACGTTGGACATGGACGTGGACGTGGACGTGGACGTGGACGTGGGACGTAGGCCGTGGACCGTGGACGTGGACGTAGACGTGGACGTGGACGTGGACGTGGACATGGACTATGGACGTGGACGTGGACATGGACGTGGACATGGACGTGGACATGGACGTGGACCGTGGACATGGACGTGGACGTGGACGTGGACGTGGACATGGACGTGGATATGGACGTGGACATGGACATGACGTGGACGTGGACGTGGGACGTGGACGTGGACGTGGACATGGATGTGGACATGGACGTGGACATGGACATGGACGTGGACATGGACATGGACGTGGACATAGACATGGACATGGACGTGGACGTGGACGTGGACGTGGACGTGGACGTGGACATGGACGTGGACATGGAACGTGGACATGGACGTGGACGTGGAACGTGGGACATGGACTGGGCGTAGACGTGGACGTGGACGTGGACGTAGACGTGGACGGGACTGGACTCGTGGACCGTAGACAGGACGTGGCGTGGACGTGGACGTGGACGTGGACGTGGACATGGACGTGGACGTGACGAGACGTGGACCGTGGACGTGTACGTGGACGTGGACATGGACGTGGACGTGGACGTGGACGTGGACGTGGACATGGACGTGGACATGGACGTGGACGTGGACATGGACGTGGACGTGGACGTGGACGTCGACATGGACGTGGACGTAGACGTGGACGTGGACGTGGACGTGGACGTAGACGTGGACGTAGACGTGGACGTGGACATGGACGTGGACATGGACGTGGACGTAGACGTGGACGTGGACATGGACGTGGACGTGGACATGGACGTAGACGTGGACGTGGACATGGACATGGACGTGGACATGGACATGGACCTGGACGTGGACGTGGACGTGGACGTGGACATGGACGTGGACGTGGATGTGGACGTAGAGATGGACGTGGACGTGGACGTGGACATGGACGTGGACGTAGACGTCAGGGACGTAGACGTGGACGTGGACGTACTGGACGTGGACGTGGACGTGGACGTGGACGTGGACGTAGACGTGGACGTGGACGTGGACGTGGACGTAGACGTGGACCGTGGACATGGGACCGTGGACGTGGACGTAGACGTGGACGTGGAACGTAGACGTGGACGTGGACGTGGACGTAGACGTGGACTTGGACATGGACGTGGACTTGGACGTGGACGTGGACGTGGACGTAGACGTGGACGTGGACGTAGACGTGGACGTGGACGTGGACGTAGACATGGACGTGGACATGGACGTGGACTTGGACGTGGACGTGGACATGGACGTGGACGTGGACGTAGACGTGGACGTGGACGTGGACATGGACGTGGACGTGGACGTGGACGTGGACGTGGACATGGACGTGGACGTGGACGTGGACGTGGACGTGGACGTGGACGTGGACCTTGACGTGGACGTGGACATGGACGTGGACGTGGACATGGACGTGGACGTGGACATGGACGTGGACATGGACGTGGACGTGGACGTGGACGTGGACGTAGAAATGGACGTGGACGTGGACATGGACGTGGACGTGGACGTAGACGTGGACGTGGACGTGGACATGGACGTGGACATGGACGTGGACATGGACGTGAATGTGGACATGGACGTGGACGTGGACATGGACGTGGACATGGACATGGACGTGGACATGGACGTGGACATGGACATGGACGTGGACATGGACATGGACGTGGACGTGGACGTGGACGTGGACGAAGACGTGGACGTGGACGTGGACGTGGACGTGGACGTAGAAATGGACGTGGACGTGGACGTGGACATGGACGTGGACGTGGACATGGACGTGGACATGGACGTGGACATGGACATAGACGTGGACATGGACATGGACGTGGACATAGACATGGACATGGACGTGGACGTGGACGTGGACGTGGACGTGGACATGGACGTGGACATGGACGTGGACATGGACGTGGACATGGACGTGGGCGTGGACATGGACGTGGACGTAGACGTGGACGTGGACGTGGACGTGGACGTGGACGTGGACGTGGACATGGACGTGGACGTGGACGTGGACGTGGACGTAGAAATGGACGTAGACGTGGACATGGACGTGGACGTGGACGTGGACGTGGACGTGGACGTGGACGTGGACGTGGACATGGACGAGGACGTGGACGTGGACGTGGACGTGGACGCGGACGTGGACGTGGACATGGACGTGGACGTGGACGTGGACGTGGACGTGGACATGGACGTGGACGTGGACGTGGACATGGACGTGGACGTGGACATGGACGTGGACATGGACGTGGACGTGGACGTGGACGTGGACGTGGACGTGGACATGGACGTGGACGTGGACGTGGACGTGGACGTGGACGTGGACGTGGACGTGGACGTAGACGTGGACGTGGACGTGGACGTGGACGTGGACATGGACGTGGACATGGACGTGGACTTGGACGTGGACGTGGACATGGACGTGGACGTGGACATGGACGTAGACGTGGACGTGGACATGGACATGGACGTGGACATGGACGTGGACGTGGACATGGACATGGACGTGGACATGGACATGGACGTGGACATGGACGTGGACGTGGACGTGGACATGGACGTGGACGTGGACATGGACCTGGATGTGGACATGGACGTAGACGTGGACGTGGACGTGGACGTGGACGTGGACGTGGACGTGGACATGGACGTGGACGTGGACGTGGACGTAGAGATGGACGTGGTTGTGGACGTGGACATGGACGTGGACGTAGACGTGGACATGGACGTGGACGTAGACGTGGACGTAGACGTGGACGTAGACGTGGACGTGGACGTGGACGTGGACGGGGACATGGACGTGGACGTGGACGTGGACGTGGACATGGACGTGGACGTGGACGTGGACATGGACGTGGACGTGGACGTGGACGTGGACGTGGACATGGACATGGACTTGGACGTGGACGTGGACGTGGACATGGACGTGGACGTGGACGTGGACGTGGATGTAGACGTGGACGTGGACGTGGACGTGGACGTAGACATGGACGTGGACATGGACGTGGACTTGGACGTGGACATGGACGTGGACATGGACGTGGACGTAGACGTGGACGTGGACGTGGACGTGGACGTGGACGTGGACGTGGACGTGGACGTGGACGTGGACATGGACGTAGACATGGACGTGGACGTGGACGTGGAGGTGGACGTGGAGGTGGACGTGGACGTGGACGTGGACGTGGACGTGGACGTGGAGGTGGACATGGACGTGGACGTGGACGTGGACGTGGACATGGACGTGGACGTGGACGTGGACGTGGACGTGGACGTGGACGTAGAAATGGACGTGGACGTGGACGTGGACGTAGAACTGGACGTGGACGTGGACGTGGACGTGGACGTGCACATGGACGTGGACGTGGACGTGGACGTGGACGTGGACATGGACGTGGACGTGGACGTGGACGTGGACGTGGACGTGGACGTGGACATGGACGTAGACGTGGACGTAGAAATGGACATGGACGTAGACGTGGACATGGACATGGACGTGGACGTGGACGTGGACGTGGACGTGGACGTGGACATGGACGTGGACCTGGACATGGACATGGACGTGGACGTGGACGTGGACGTGGACGTGGACGTGGACATGGACGTGGACGTGGACGTAGACGTGGACGTGGACGTGGACGTGTACATGGACGTGGACGTGGACGTGGACGTGGACGTGGACATGGACGTGGACGTAGAAATGGACGTGGACGTAGACGTGGACGTGGACGTGGACGTGGACGTGGACGTGGACGTGGACGTGGACGTGGACATGGACGTGGACGTGGACGTGGACGTGGACATGGACGTGGACGTGGACGTGGACGTGGACTTGGACGTGGACGTGGACGTGGACATGGACGTGGACATGGACGTGGACTTGGACGTGGACGTGGACGTGGACGTGGACGTAGACGTGGACGTGGACGTGGACGTGGACGTGGACGTGGACGTGGACGTGGACGTGGACGTGGACGAGGACGTGGACGAGGACGTGGAGGAGGACGTGGGACGTGGACCGTGGACGTGGACGTGGACGTGGACGTGGACGTGGACGTGGACGTGGACGTGGACATGGACGTGGACGTGGACGTGGACGTGGACGTGGACATGGACGTGGACATGGACGTGGACGTGGACGTGGACGTGGACGTTGGACGTGGACGTGGACGTGGACGTGGACATGGACGTGGACATGGACATGGACGTGGACGTGGACGTGGACGTGGACATGGACGTGGACGTGGACATGGACATGGACGTGGACGTGGACATGGACATGGACGTGGACGTGGACGTGGACGTGGACGTGGACGTGGACGTGGACGTGGACATGGACGTGGACATGGACGTGGACGTGGACCTGGACGTAGACCTGGACGTAGACGTGGACCTGGACGTGGACCTGGACGTGGACGTGGACGTGGACTTGGACGTGGACGTGGACGTGGACATGGACGTGGACGTGCACATGGACGTGGACGTGGACATGGACGTAGACATGGACGTGGGCGTGGACGTGGACATGGACGTGGACGTAGACGTGGACGTGGACGTGGACGTGGACGTGGACGTGGACGTGGACATGGACGTGGACGTGGACGTGGACGTGGACGTGGACATGGACGTGGACGTGGACGTGGACGTGGACGTGGACATGGACATGGACGTGGACGTGGACGTGGACGTGGACATGGACGTGGACGTGGACGTGGACGTGGACGTGGACGTGGACATGGACGTAGATGTGGACATGGACATGGACGTAGACGTGGACGTGGACGTGGACGAGGACATGGACGTGGACATGGACGTGGACGTGGACGTGGACGTGGACATGGACGTGGACGTGGACGTAGAAATGGACGTGGACGTAGACGTGGACATGAACATGGACGTAGACGTGGTCGTGGACGTGGACGTGGACGTGGACATGGACATGGACATGGACATGGACATGACGTGGACGTGGACGTGGACGTGGACATGGACGTGGACGTGGACGTCGACGTGGACGTGGACGTAGACGTGGACGTGGACGTGGACGTGGACGTAGACATGGACGTGGACATGGACGTGGACTTGGACGTGGACGTGGACATGGACGTGGACGTGGACATGGACGTGGACTTGGACGTGGACGTGGACGTGGACGTGGACATGGACGTGGACGTGGACGTGGACGTGGACGTAGGCGTGGACGTGGACGTGGACGTAGACGTGGACGTGGACGTGGACGTGGACATGGACATGGACGTGGACGTGGACATGGACGTGGACATGGACGTGGACATGGACGTGGACGTGGACATGGACGTGGACGTGGACGTGGACGTGGACATGGACGTGGATATGGACGTGGACATGGACATGGACGTGGACGTGGACGTGGACGTGGACGTGGACGTGGACATGGACGTGGACATGGACGTGGACATGGACATGGACGTGGACATGGACATGGATGTGGACATAGACATGGACATGGACGTGGACGTGGACGTGGACGTGGACGTGGACGTGGACATGGACGTGGACATGGACGTGGACATGGACGTGGACGTGGACGTGGACATGGACGTGGACGTAGACGTGGACGTGGACGTGGACGTAGACGTGGACGTGGACGTGGACGTGGACGTGGACGTGGACGTGGACGTGGACGTGGACATGGACGTGGACGTGGACGAGGACGTGGACGTGGACGTGGACGTGGACGTGGACGTGGACGTGGACGTGGACGTGGACGTGGACGTGGACGTGGACGTGGACATGGACGTGGACGTGGACGTGGACGTGGACATGGACGTGGACATGGACGTGGACGTGGACGTGGACGTGGACGTGGACGTGGACGTGGACGTGGACGTAGACGTGGACGTAGACGTGGACGTGGACGTGGACGTGGACGTGGACGTAGACGTGGACGTGGACATGGACGTGGACGTGGACGTGGACATGGACTTGGACTTGGACGTGGACGTGGACGTGGACGTGGACGTGGACGTAGACGTGGACATGGACGTGGACGTGGACGTGGACGTGGACATGGACGTGGACGTGGACGTGGACATGGACGTGGACGTGGACGTGGACGTGGACGCGGACGTGGACGTGGACGTGGACGTGGACGTGGACGTGGACGTGGACATGGACGTGGACGTGGACATGGACGTGGACGTGGACGTGGACGTGGACGTGGACATGGACGTGGACATGGACGTGGACGTGGACGTGGACGTGGACGTGGACGTCGAAATGGATGTGGACGTAGACGTGGACATGGACGTGGACGTGGACATGGACGTGGACGTGGACGTGGACGTGGACGTGGACGTAGACGTGGACGTGGACATGGACGTGGACGTGGACGTGGACGTGGACGTGGACGTAGAAATGAACGTGAGTGGACGTGGACGTGCACATGGAAATGGACGTGGACATGGACGTGGACGTGGGACGTGGACATGGACGTGGACGTGGACGTGGACATGGACGTGGACGTGGACGTGGACGTGGACGTGGACGTGGACGTGGACATGGACGTGGACGTGGACATGGACCTGGACGTGGACGTGGACGTGGACGTGGACATGGGACGTGGACCTGGACGTGGACGTGGACGTGGACGTGGACGTGGACGAGGACGTGGACGAGGACGTGGAGGAAGACGTGGACGTGGACGTGGACGTGGACGTGGACGTAGACGTGGACGTGGACGTGGACGTGGACGTGGACGTGGACGTGGACATGGACGTGGACATGGACGTGGACGTGGGACATGGACATGGACGTGGACATGGACGTGGACGTGGATGTGGACGTGGACGTGGACGTGGACGTGGACGTGGACGTGGACGTGGACGTAGACGTGGACGTAGACGTGGACGTGGACGTGGACGGGTGGACGTGGACGGACATGGACGTGGACGGACGTGGACGTGGACGTGACGTGGACATGGACGTGGACGTGGACGTGGACATGGACGTGGACATGGACGTGGACATGGACGTGGACGTGGACATGGACGTGGACATGGACGTGGACGTGGACATGGGACGTGGACGCTGGACATGGACGTGGACATGGACGTGGACGTGGACATGGACGTGGACGTGGACGTGGACATGGACGGTGGACGTGGACGTGGACGTGGACGTGGACATGGCCATGGACGTGGACGTGGACATGGACGTGGACGTGGACGTGGACGTGGACGTGGACCTGGACATGGGACGTGGACGTGGACGTGGACGTGGACGTGGACGTGGAAATGGACGTGGACGTGGACGTGGACATGGACAAGGACGTAGAAATGGACGTGGAGGTGGACGTGGACATGGACGTGGACGTGGACGTGGACATGGACGTGGATGTAGAAATGGACGGGACTGGCGTGGACATGTGGGACATGGACGTGGACGTGGACGTGGACGTGGACGTGACGTGGACGTGGACGGACATGGACGTGGACGTGGACGTGGACGTGGACGTGGACATGGACGTGGACGTGGACGTAGAAATGGACATGGACGTAGAAATGGACGTGGACGTACACGTGGACATGGACGTGGACGTAGACGTGGACGTGGACGTGGACGTAGACGTGGACGTGGACGTGGACGTGGACGTGGACATGGACGTGGAACATAGACGTGGACATGGACGTGGACGTGGACGTGGACGTGGACGTGGACGTGGACGTGGACATGGACGTGGACGTGGACATGGACGTAGACGTGGACGTGGACGTGGACATAGACGTGGACGTGGACGTGGACGTGGACGTGGACATGGACGTGGACGTGGACGTGGACATGGACGTGGACGTGGACGTGGACATGGACGTGGACGTGGACGTGGACATGGACGTGGACATGGACGTGGACATGGACGTGGACGTGGACGTCGACGTGGACGTAGAAATGGACGTGGACGTGGACGTGGACGTGGACGTGGACGTGGACGTAGAAATGGACGTGGACGTGGACGTGGACATGGACGTGGACGTGGACGTGGATATGGACGTGGACGTGGACATGGACGTGGATGTAGAAATGGACGTGGACGTGGACGTGGACGTGGACGTGGACTTGGACGTGGACATGGACGTGGACGTGGACGTGGACATGGACGTGGACATGGACGTGGACATGGACGTGGACGTGGACCTGGACGTGGATGTGGACATGGACGTGGACGTGGACGTGGACGTGGAAATGGACGTGGACGTGGACGTAGAAATGGACGTAGACGTGGACGTGGACGTGGACATGGACGTGGACGTGGACATGGACGTGGAGGTAGACGTGGACGTGGACGTGGACGTGGACGTGGACATGGACTGGACGTGGACGTGGACATGGACGTGGACATAGACGTGGACATGACGTGGACGTGGACATGGACGTTGGACATGGACGTGGACGTGGACGTGGACGTGGACATGGACGTGGACGTGGACGTGGACGTGGACGTGGACATGGACATGGACATGGACGTGGACGTGGACGTGGACGTGGACGTAGGGTTTAGGGTTTAGGGTTTAGGGTTTAGGGTTTAGGGTTTAGGGTTTAGACGTGGACGTGGACATGGACGTGGACGTGGACGTAGACGTGGACGTGGACATGGACGTGGACGTGGACGTGGACGTGGACGTGGACGTAGAAATGAACGTGGACGTGGACGTGGACGTGCACATGGAAATGGACGTGGACATGGACGTGGACGTGGACGTGAATGTGGACGTGGACGTGGACGTGGACATGGACGTGGACGTGGGCGTGGACATGGACGTGGACGTGGACGTGGACGTGGACGTGGACATGGACGTGGACATGGACGTGGACATGGACATGGACGTGGACGTGGACGTGGACGTGGACGTAGAAATGAACGTGGACGTGGACGTGGACGTGCACATGGAAATGGACGTGGACATGGACGTGGACGTGAACGTGGACGTGGACGTGGACGTGGACATGGACGTGGACGTGGACGTGGGCCGTGGACATGGACGTGGACGTGGACATGGACGTGGTCGTGGTCGTGGACATGGACGTGGACGTGGTCGTGGACGTGGACGTGGACGTGGACATGGAGGATGTTAACGTGGACGTGGAGGACGTGGACGTGGACGTGGACGTGGACTGTGGACATGGACATGGACGTGGACGTGGACGTGGACGTGGACGTAGAAATGGACGTGGACGTAGACGTGGACATGGACATGGACGTGGACGTGGACGTGGACGTGGACGTGGACGTGGACGTAGAAATGAACGTGGACGTGGACGTGGACGTGCACATGGAAATGGACGTGGACATGGACGTGGACGTGGACGTGAACGTGGACGTGGACGTGGACGTGGACATGGACGTGGACGTGGGCGTGGACATGGACGTGGACGTGGACGTGGACGTGGACGTAGACATGGACGTGGACATGGACGTGGACATGGACATGGACGTGGACGTGGACGTGGACGTGGACGTAGAAATGAACGTGGACGTGGACGTGGACGTGCACATGGAAATGGACGTGGACATGGACGTGGACGTGAACGTGGACGTCGACGTGGACGTGGACATGGACGTGGACGTGGACGTGGGCGTGGACATGGACGTGGACGTGGACATGGACGTGGTCGTGGTCGTGGACATGGACGTGGACGTGGTCGTGGACGTGGACGTGGACGTGGACGTGGACGTGGAAGTGGACGTGGTGGAGGACGTGGACGTGGACGTGGACCTGGACGTGGACCTGGACGTGGACCTGGAGGTGGACGTGGACCTGGACGTGGACCTGGACGTGGACCTGGACGTGGACGTGGACGAGGACGTGGACATGGACGTGGACGTGGACGTAGAAATGGACGTGGACGTAGAGGGTGACGTGGACGTAGAAATGGACGTGGACCTGGACGTGCACGTGGACGTGGACGTGGACGTGGATGTGGACGTGAACGTGGACGTGGTCGTGGTCGTGGACGTGGTCGTCATCGTGGACGTGGACGTGGACGTGGTCATGGACGTGGACGTGGACATGGACGTGGTCGTGGTCGTGGACATGGACGTGGACGTGGTCGTGGACGTGGACGTGGACGACGTGGACGTGGAGGACGTGGACGAGGACGTGGAGGACGTGGACGAGGACGTGGAGGACGTGGAGGACGTGGACGTGGACGTGGACGTGGACCTGGACGTGGACCTGGACGTGGACCTGGACGTGGACGTGGACGAGGACATGGACTTGGACGTGGACATGGACGTGGACGTGGACGTGAACGTGGACGTGGACATGGACGTGGACGTGGACGTGGACGTGGACATGGACGTGGACGTGGACATGGACGTGGACGTGGACGTGGACATGGACGTGGACGTGGACGTGGACATGGACGTGGACGTGGACGTGGACATGGACGTGGACGTAGACGTGGACGTGGACGTGACGTGGACGTGGACCTGGACATGGACGTGGACATGGACGTGGACGTGGACGTGGACGTGGACCTGGAAATGGACGTGGACGTGGACGTGGACGTGGAGGTGGACGTGGACATGGACAAGGACGTAGAAATGGACGTGGAGGTGGACGTGGACATGGACGTAGACGTGGACGTGGACATGGACGTGGACGTAGAAATGGACGTGGACGTGGACGTGGACGTGGACGTAGACGTGGACGTGGACGTGGACGTGGACGTGGACCTGGACGTGGACGTGGACCTGGACGTGGACGTGGACATGGACGTGGACGTGGACGTGGACGTGGACGTGGAAATGGACGTGGACGTGGACGTGGACATGGACGTGGACGTGGACATGGACAAGGACGTAGACGTGGACGTGGACGTGGACGTGGACATGGACGTGGACATGGACGTGGACGTGGACGTGGACGTGGACGTGGACGTCGAAATGGATGTGTACGTAGACGTGGACATGGACGTGGACGTGGACATGGACGTGGACGTGGACGTGGACGTGGACGTGGACGTGGACGTGGACGTGGACGAGGACGTGGAGGAGGACGTGGACGTGGACGTGGACGTGGACGTGGACGTGGACGTGGACATGGACGTGGACGTGGACGTGGACATGGACGTGGACGTGGACGTGGACGTGGACGTGGACGTGGACGTGGACGTGGACATGGACGTGGACGTGGACATGGACATGGACGTGGACGTGGACGTGGACGTGGACATGGACGTGGACCTGGACGTGGACGTGGACGTGGACGTGGACGTGGACGAGGACGTGGACGAGGACGTGGAGGAAGACGTGGACGTGGACGTGGACGTGGACGTGGACGTAGACGTGGACGTGGACGTGGACGTGGACGTGGACGTGGACGTGGACATGGACGTGGACGTGGACGTGGACGTGGACATGGACATGGACGTGGACATGGACGTGGACGTGACGTGGACGGGACTGGACGTAGACGTGGACGTGGACGTGGACGTGGACGTGGACGTGGACGTAGACGTGGACGTAGACGTGGACGTGGACGTGGACGTGGACGTGGACGTGGACATGGACGTGGACTTGGACGTGGACATGGACGTGGACGTGGACGTAGACGTGGACATGGACGTGGACGTGGACGTGGACGTGGACGTGGACGTGGACGTGGACATGGACGTGGACGTGGACGTGGACATGGACGTGGACGTGGACGTGGACGTGGACGTGGACGTGGACGTGGACATGGACGTGGACGTGGACGCGGACGTGGACGTGGACATGGACGTGGACATGGACGTGGACGTGGACGTGGACGTGGACGTCGAAATGGATGTGGACGTAGACGTGGACATGGACATGGACGTGGACGTCCACGTCCACGTCCACGTCCACGTCCACGTCTACGTCCACGTCCACGTCCACGTCCACGTCCACGTCCACGTCCACGTCCATGTCTACGTCCACGTCCATGTCCACGTCCATGTCCACGTCCACGTCCATGTCCACGTCCATGTCCACGTCCATGTCTACGTCCACGTCCACGTCCACGTCCACGTCCACGTCCACGTCCAGGTCCACGTCCACGTCCACGTCCACGTCAACGTCCACGTCGACGTCCACGTCCACGTCCAGGTCCACGTCCATGTCCACGTCCACGTCCATGTCCATGTCCACATCCACGTCCACGTCCACGTCCACGTCCACGTCCACGTCCACGTCCATGTCCATGTCCACGTCCATGTCCATGTCCACGTCCATGTCCACGTCCATGTCCACGTCCACGTCCATGTCCACGTCCACGTCCATGTCCACGTCCACGTCCATGTCCACGTCCATGTCCACGTCCATGTCCACGTCCACGTCCATGTCCACGTCTACGTCCACCTCCAAGTCCACTTCCACGTCCACGTCCACGTCCACGTCTACGTCTACGTCCACGTCCACGTCCATGTCCACGTCCACGTCCATGTCCATGTCCACGTCCACATCCACGTCCATGTCCACGTCCACGTCCACGTCTACGTCCATGTCCACGTCCACGTCCATGTCCGCGTCCACGTCCAAGTCCACGTCCATGTCCACGTCCATGTCTACGTCCACGTCCACGTCCACGTCTACGTCCACGTCCACGTCCACGTCCACGTCCACGTCCATGTCCACGTCCACGTCCACGTCCACGTCCATATCCATGTCCACGTCCACGTCCACGTCTACGTCCTTGTCCATGTCCACGTCTACGTCCACGTCCATTTCTACGTCCACGTCCACGTCCATGTCCACGTCTACGTCCTCGTCCACGTCCACGTCCACGTCCACGTCCATGTCCACGTCCACGTCCACGTCCACGTCAACGTCCACGTCTACGTCCATGTCCATGTCCACGTCTACGTCCATGTCCACGTCCACGTCCACGTCCACGTCCACGTCCACGTCCATGTCCACGTCCACGTCCACGTCCACGTCCACGTCCATGTCCATGTCCACGTCCATGTCCACGTCCACGTCCACGTCCACGACGTGGACATGGACATGGACGTAGACGTGGACGTAGACGTGGACGTGGAGTGGACGTGGACATGGACGTGGACGTGGACGTGGACGTGGACGTGGACGTAGAAATGGACGTAGACGTGGACGTAGACGTAGAAATGGACGTGGACGTGGACGTGGACGTGGACGTGGACGTGGACGTGGACGTGAACGAGGACGTGGACGTGGACATGGACGTGGACGTGGACGTGGACGTGGAACGTGGACGTGGACGTGGACATGGACGTGGACATGGACGTGGACGTGGACGTGGACGTGGACATGGACGTGGACGTGGACGTGGACGTGGACGTGGACGTGGACGTGGACGTGGACGTGGACGTGGTCGTGGACGTGGACGTGGACGTGGACATGGACATGGACGTAGACGTGGACATGGACGTGGACGTAGACGTGGACGTGGACGTGGACGTGGACTGTGGACCTGGACGTGGACCCTGGACGTGGACATGGACGTGGACGTGGACGTGGACGTGGACGCTGGACATGGACGGACTGTGGACGTGGACGTGGACGTGGACGTGGACGAGGACGTGGACGTGGGACGTGGACGTAGACGTGGACCGTAGACGTGGACTGTGGACGTGGACGTGGACATGGACGTGGACGTGGGACCGTGGACGTGGACGTGGACGTGGACGTGGACATGGACGTGGACGTGGGACGTGGACATAGGACGTGGACGTGGACGTAGAAATGGAGGTCGACGTAGACGTGGACATCGACATGGACGTAGACGTGGACGTGGACGTGGACGTGGACGTGGACGGGACATGGACGTGGACCGTGGACGTGGACATGGACGTGGACCTGAACGTGGACGTGGACGTGGACGGACGTGGACGTGGACGTGGACGTGGACGTGGAAGTGGACATGGACGTGGACGTGGACGTGGACATTGGACGTGGACATGGAAGTGGACGTGGACATGGACGTGGACGTGGACGTGGACATGGACGTGGACATGGACGTGGACATGGACGTGGACGTGGACATGGACGTGGACATGGACGTGGACGTGGACATGGACGTGGACGTGGGACGTGGACATGGACGTGGACGTGGACGTGGACGTGGACGTGGACATGGCCATGGACGTGGACGTGGACATGGACGTGGACGTGGACGTGGACGTGGACGTGGACCTGGACATGGACGTGGACGTGGACGTGGACGTGGACGTGGACGTGGAAATGGACGTGGACGTGGACGTGGACGTGGACGTGGACGTGGACATGGACAAGGACGTAGAAATGGACGTGGAGGTGGACGTGGACATGGACGTGGACGTGGACGTGGACATGGACGTGGACGTAGAATGGACGTGGACGTGGACGTGGACATGGACGTGGACGTGGACGTGGACGTGGACGTGGACGTGGACGTGGACGTGGACATGGACGTGGACGTGGACGTGGACGTGGACATGGACGTGGACGTGGACATGGACGTAGACGTGGACGTAGAAATGGACATGGACGTAGAAATGGACGTGGACGTACACGTGGACATGGACGTGGACGTAGACGTGGACGTGGACGTGGATGTGGACGTGGACATGGACGTGGACATGGACGTGGACATGGACGTGGACGTGGACGTGGACGTGGACATGGATGTGGACGTGGACGTGGACGTGGACGTGGACGTGGACATGTACGTGGACGTGGACATGGACGTAGACGTGGACGTGGACGTGGACATGGACGTGGACGTGGACGTGGACGTGGACGTGGACGTGGACATGGACGTGGACGTAGACGTGGACATGGACGTGGACGTGACGTGGACATGGACGTGGACGTGGACGTGACATGGACGTGGACATGGACGTGGACATGGACGTGGACGTGGACGTGGACGTGGACGTAGAAATGGACGTGGACGTGGACGTGGACGTGGACGTGGACGTGGACGTAGAAATGGACGTGGACGTGGACGTGGACGTGGACGTGGACATGGACGTGGACGTGGACGTGGATATGGACGTGGACGTGGACATGGACGTGGATGTAGAAATGGACGTGGACGTGGACGTGGACGTGGACGTGGACTTGGACGTGGACGTGGACATGGACGTGGACGTGGACGTGGACATGGACGTGGACATGGACGTGGACATGGACGTGGACGTGGACCTGGACGTGGACGTGGACATGGACGTGGACGTGGACGTGGACGTGGAAATGGACGTGGACGTGGACGTAGAAATGGACGTAGACGTGGACGTGGACGTGGACATGGACGTGGACGTGGACATGGACGTGGAGGTAGACGTGGACGTGGACGTGGACGTGGACGTGGACATGGACGTGGACGTGGACGTGGACATGGACGTGGACATAGACGTGGACATGGACGTGGACGTGGACATGGACGTGGACGTGGACATGGACGTGGACGTGGACGTGGACGTGGACATGGACGTGGACGTGGACGTGGACGTGGACGTGGACGTGGACATGGACATGGACATGGACGTGGACGTCGACGTGGACGTGGACGTAGAAAGGGACGTGGACGTAGACGTGGACGTGGACATGGACGTGGACGTGGACGTGGACGTGGACGTAGAAATGAACGTGGACGTGGACGTGGACGTGCACATGGAAATGGACGTGGACATGGACGTGGACGTGGACGTGAACGTGGACGTTGACGTGGACGTGGACATGGACGTGGACGTGGGCGTGGACATGGACGTGGACGTGGACGTGGACGTGGACATGGACGTGGACATGGACGTGGACATGGACATGGACGTGGACGTGGACGTGGACGTGGACGTGGACGTAGAAATGAACGTGGACGTGGACGTGGACGTGCACATGGAAATGGACGTGGACATGGACGTGGACGTGGACGTGAACGTGGACGTGGACGTGGACGTGGACATGGACGTGGACGTGGACGTGGGCGTGGACATGGACGTGGACGTGGACATGGACGTGGTCGTGGTCGTGGACATGGACGTGGACGTGGTCGTGGACGTGGACGTGGACGTGGACGTGGACGTGGACGTAGAAATGGACGTGGACGTAGACGTGGACATGGACATGGACGTGGACGTGGACGTGGACGTGGACGTGGACGTAGAAATGAACGTGGACGTGGACGTGGACGTGCACATGGAAATGGACGTGGACATGGACGTGGACGTGGACGTGAACGTGGACGTGACGTGGACGTGGACATGGACGTGGACGTGGGCGTGGACATGGACGTGGACGTGGACGTGGACGTAGACATGGACGTGGACATGGACGTGGACATGGACATGGACGTGGACGTGGACGTGGACGTAGAAATGAACGTGGACGTGGACGTGGACGTGCACATGGAAATGGACGTGGACATGGACGTGGACGTGAACGTGGACGTGGACGTGGACGTGGACATGGACGTGGACGTGGACGTGGGCGTGGACATGGACGTGGACGTGGACATGGACGTGTCGTGGTCGTGGACATGGACGTGGACGTGGTCGTGGACGTGGACGTGGACGTGGACGTGGACGTGGAAGTGGACGTGGTGGAGGACGTGGACGTGGACGTGGACCTGGACATAGACCTGGACGTGGACCTGGAGGTGGACGTGGACCTGGACGTGGACCTGGACGTGGACCTGGACGTGGACGTGGACGAGGACGTGGACATGGACGTGGACGTGGACGTAGAAATGGACGTGGACGTAGAAATGGACGTGGACCTGGACGTGCACGTGGACGTGGACGTGGACGTGGATGTGGACGTGAACGTGGACGTGGTCGTGGTCGTGGACGTGGTCGTGATCGTGGACGTGGACGTGGACGTGGTCATGGACGTGGACGTGGACATGGACGTGGTCGTGGTCGTGGACATGGACGTGGACGTGGTCGTGGACGTGGACGTGGACGACGTGGACGTGGAGGACGTGGACGAGGACGTGGAGGACGTGGACGAGGACGTGGAGGACGTGGAGGACGTGGACGTGGACGTGGACGTGGACCTGGACGTGGACCTGGACGTGGACCTGGACGTGGACGTGGACGAGGACATGGACTTGGACGTGGACATGGACGTGGACGTGGACGTGAACGTGGACGTGGACATGGACGTGGACGTGGACGTGGACGTGGACATGGACGTGGACGTGGACATGGACGTGGACGTGGACGTGGACATGGACGTGGACGTGGACGTGGACGTGGACATGGACGTGGACGTGGACGTGGACATGGACGTGGACGTAGACGTGGACGTGGACGTGGACGTGGACCTGGACCTGGACATGGACGTGGACATGGACGTGGACGTGGACGTGGACGTGGACCTGGAAATGGACGTGGACGTGGACGTGGACGTGGAGGTGGACGTGGACATGGACAAGGACGTAGAAATGGACGTGGAGGTGGACGTGGACATGGACGTAGACGTGGACGTGGACATGGACGTGGACGTAGAAATGGACGTGGACGTGGACGTGGACGTGGACGTAGATGTGGACGTGGACGTGGACGTGGACGTGGACGTGGACCTGGACGTGGACGTGGACCTGGACGTGGACGTGGACATGGACGTGGTCGTGGTCGTGGACATGGACGTGGACGTGGTCGTGGACGTGGACGTGGACGTGGACGTGGACGTGGAAGTGGACGTGGTGGAGGACGTGGACGTGAACGTGGACCTGGACGTAGACCTGGACGTGGACCTGGAGGTGGACGTGGACCTGGACGTGGACCTGGACGTGGACCTGGACGTGGACGTGGACGAGGACGTGGACATGGACGTGGACGTGGACGTAGAAATGGACGTGGACGTAGAAATGGACGTGGACCTGGACGTGCACGTGGACGTGGACGTGGACGTGGATGTGGACGTGAACGTGGACGTGGTCGTGGTCGTGGACGTGGTCGTGATCGTGGACGTGGACGTGGACGTGGTCATGGACGTGGACGTGGACATGGACGTGGTCGTGGTCGTGGACATGGACGTGGACGTGGTCGTGGACGTGGACGTGGACGACGTGGACGTGGAGGACGTGGACGAGGACGTGGAGGACGTGGACGAGGACGTGGAGGGACGTGGAGGACGTGGACGTGGACGTGGACGTGGACCTGGACGTGGACCTGGACGTGGACCTAGACGTGGACGTGGACGAGGACATGGACTTGGACGTGGACATGGACGTGGACGTGGACGTGAACGTGGACGTGGACATGGACGTGGACGTGGACGTGGACGTGGACATGGACGTGGACGTGGACATGGACGTGGACGTGGACGTGGACATGGACGTGGACGTGGACGTGGACATGGACGTGGACGTGGACGTGGACATGGACGTGGACGTGTGACGTGGACGTGGACGTGGACGTGGACGTGGACGTGGACGTGGACGTGGACGTGGACGTGGACGTGGACCTGGACATGGACGTGACGGACATGGAGGTGGACGTGGACGTGGACCTGGAAATGGACGTGGACGTGGACGTGGACGTGGAGGTGGACGTGTGGACATGGACAAGGACGTAGAAATGGACGTGGAGGTGGACGTGGACATGGACGTAGACGTGGACGTGGACGTGGACATGGACGTGGACGTAGAAATGGACGTGGACGTGGACGTGGACGTGGACGTAGACGAGCGTGGACGTGGACGTGGACGGACGTGGACGTGGACCTGGACGTGGACGTGGACCTGGACGTGGACGTGGACATGGACGGACGTGGACGTGGACGTGGACATGGACGTGGACGTGGACGTGGACGTGGACGTGGACGTGGACATGGACGTGGACGCGTGGACGTGGACGTGGACGTGGACATGGACGTGGACGTGGACGTGGACGTGGACATGGACGTGGACGTGGACATGGACGTGGACGTGGACGTGGAAGTAGAAATGGACATGGAAGTGGACGTGGACGTGGACGTAGACTGTGGACGTGGACGTGGACGTGGACGTGGACATGGACGTGGACGTGGACAGGGACATGACGTGGACATGGACATGGACGTGGACGTGGACGTGGACGTGGACATGGACGTGGACGTGGACGTGGACGTGGACGTGGACGTAGACGTGGACGTGGACGTGGACTTGGACGTGGACGTGGACGTGGACGTGGACATGGACGTGGACATGGACGTGGACGTGGACGTGGACGTGGACATGGACGTCGACGTGGACTGTGGCACGTGGACGTGGACGTGGACGTGGACATGGACGTGGACGTGGACATGGACGTGGACGTGGACATGGACGTGGACGTGGACGTGGACGTGGACATGGACGTGGAGTGGACGTGGACGTAGACGTGGACGTGGACGTGGACATGGACGTGGACGTGGGACGTGGACATGGACGTGGACGTGGACGTGGACGTGGACATGGACGTGGACGTGGACGTGGACGTGGACGTGGACGTCGAAGTGGACGTGGACGTGGACCTGGACCTGGACGTGGACCTGGACGTAGACATGGACGTGGACGTGGACGTGGACGTGGACATGGACGTGGACGTGGAAGTGGACGTGGACGTGGACGTAGAAATGGACGTGGACGTGGACGTGGACGTGGACGTGGACATGGACGTGGACGTGGAAGTGGACGTGGATGTGGACGTAGAAATGGACGTGGACGTGGACGTGGACGTGGACGTGGACGTTGAAATGGACGTGGACGTGGAAATGGACGTGGACGTGGACGTGGACGTCGAAATGGACGTGGACGTGGACGTGGACGTGGACGTGGACGTGGACGTAGAAATGGACGTGGACGTAGAAATGGACGTGGACGTAAACGTGGAAGTGGACGTGGACGTGGACGTAGAAATGGACGTGGACGTGGATGTGGACGTGGACGTGGACGTGGACGTGGACGTCGAAATGGACGTGGACGTGGACGTGGACGTCGAAATGGACGTGGACGTCGACGTGGACGTGGACGTGGACGTGGACGTAGAACTGGACGTGGACGTAGAAATGGACGTGGACGTAGAAATGGACGTGGACGTGGACGTGGTTGTGGACGTGGACGTGGACGTGGAGGTGGAAGTGGACGTGGACGTGGACGTGGAAGTGGACGTGGACGTGGAGGTAGACGTGGACGTGGACGTGGAGGTGGACGTGGACATGGACGTGGACGTGGACCTGGACGTGGACGTGGACGTGGACGTGGACGTCGAAATGGACGTGGACGTGGACGTGGACGTGGACGTGGACGTGGACGTAGAAATGGACGTGGACGTGGACGTGGACGTGGACATGGACGTGGACGTGGACGTGGACGTAGAAATGGACGTGGACGTGGACGTGGACGTGGACGTGGACATGGACGTGGACGTGGACGTGGACGTGGACGTGGACGTCGAAGTGGGACGTGGACGTGGACCTGGACCAGGACGTGGACCTGGACGTGGACGTGGACGTGGACGTGGACGTGGACGTGGACATGGACGTGGATGTGGAAGTGGACGTGGACGTGGACGTAGAAATGGACGTGGACGTGGACGTGGACGTGGACCTGGACGTGGACGTGGAAGTGGACGTGGACGTAGAAATGGACGTGGACGTGGACTTGGACGTGGACCTGGACGTGGACGTGGAAGTGGACGTGGACGTGGACGTAGAAATGGACGTGGACGTGGACGTAGACGTGGACGTGGACGTGGACGTGGACGTGGACGTGGACGTGGACGTGGAAATGGACGTGGACGTGGACGTGGACGTAGAAATGGACGTGGACGTGGACGTGGACGTGGACATGGACGTGGACGTGGACGTGGACGTGGACGTGGACGTCGAAGTGGACGTGGACGTGGACCTGGACCTGGACGTGGACCTGGACGTAGACATGGACGTGGACGTGGACGTGGACATGGACGTGGACGTGGACGTGGACGTGGACATGGACGTGGACATGGACATGGACGTGGACGTGGACGTGGACATGGACCTGGACGTGGACGTGGACGTCGAAATGGACGTGGACGTGGACGTGGACGTGGACGTGGACGTGGACGTAGAAATGGACATGGACGTGGACATGGACATGGACGTGGACGTGGACGTGGACATGGACGTGGACGTGGACGTGGACGTGGACGTAGAAATGGACGTGGACGTGGACGTGGACGTGGACGTGGACGTGGACATGGACGTGGACGTGGACGTGGACGTGGACGTCGAAGTGGACGTGGACGTGGACCTGGACCTGGATGTGGACCTGGACGTAGACATGGACGTGGACGTGGACGTGGACGTGGGCGTGGACGTGGACATGGACGTGGACGTGGAAGTGGACGTGGACGTGGACGTAGAAATGGACGTGGACGTGGACGTGGACGTGGACGTGGACATGGACGTGGACGTGGAAGTGGACGTGGACGTGGACGTGGAAATGGACGTGGACGTGGACGTGGACGTGGACGTGGACGTGGACGTGGAAATGGACGTGGACGTGGACGTGGACGTAGAAATGGACGTGGACGTAGACGTGGACGTGGACGTGGACGTGGACGTGGACATGGACGTGGACGTGGACGTGGACGTGGACGTGGACGTCGAAGTGGACGTGGACGTGGACCTGGACCTGGACGTGGACCTGGACGTAGACATGAACGTGGACGTGGACGTGGACGTGGACGTGGACGTGGACGTGGACATGGACGTTGACGTGGACATGGACATGGACGTGGACGTGGACATGGACGTGGACGTGGACATGGACGTGGACGTGGACATGGACGTGGACGTGGACGTGGAAGTGGACGTGGACGTGGACGTAGAAATGGACGTGGACGTGGACGTGGACGTGGACATAGACGTGGACTTGGACGTGGACGTGGACGTGGACGTAGAAATGGACGTGGACGTGGACGTGGACGTGGAGGTGGACGTGGACATGGACGTGGACGTGGACGTGGACGTGGACGTCGAAGTGGACGTGGACGTGGACCTGGACCTCGATGTGGACCTGGACGTAGACATGGACGTGGACGTGGACGTGGACGTGGAAGTGGACGTGGACATGGACGTGGACGTGGAAGTGGACGTGGACGTGGACGTAGAAATGGACGTGGACGTGGACGTGGACGTGGACGTGGACATGGACGTGGACGTGGAAGTGGACGTGGACGTGGACGTAGAAATGGACGTGGACGTGGACGTGAACGTGGACGTGGACGTGGACGTGGACGTGGACGTGGAAATGGACGTGGACGTGGACGTGGACGTCGAAATGGACGTGGACGTGGACGTGGATGTGGACGTGGACGTAGAAATGGACGTGGACGTGGACGTGGTTGTGGACGTGGACGTGGACGTGGAGGTGGAAGTGGACGTGGATGTGGACGTGGAAGTGGACGTGGACGTGGACATGGAGGTGGACGTGGACGTGGATGTGGAGGTGGACGTGGACATGGACGTGGACGTGGACGTGGACCTGGACCTGGACGTGGACATGGACGTGGACGTAGACATGGACGTGGACGTGGACATGGACGTGGACGTGGACGTGGAAGTGGACGTGGACGTGGACGTAGAAATGGACGTGGACGTGGACGTTCACGTGGACGTGGACGTGGACCTGGACGTGGACATGGACGTGGACATGGACGTGGACGTGGACATGGACGTGGACGTGGACGTGGACGTAAACGTCGACGTAAAAATGGACGTGGACGTGGACGTGGACGTGGACGTGGACGTGGACCTGGACGTTGACGTGGACGTGGACGTGGACGTGTTTGCGTGGTTCAGGAGCTTGCTTGGTCCACGAATTTGCCTGGTCCAAGAGCTTGCTGGTCTAGGAGCTTGCCTGGTCTAGGAGCTTGCCTGGTCCAGGAGCTTGCCTGGTCCAGGAGCTTGCCTGGTCCACGAGTTTGCCTGGTCCCGGAGCTTGCTTGGTCCAGGAGCTTGCGTGGTCTAACAGCTTGCCTCGTCCAAGAGCTTGCTTGGTCCAGGAGCGTGAATGGTCCAAGAGCTTGCCCGGTCAAGGAGCTTGCCTGGTCCAGGAGCTTTCCTGGTCCAGGAGCTTGCCTGGTCCAGGAGCTTGCTTGGTCGAGAAGCCTGCCTGGTCCAAGAGCTTGCTTTCTGCAGGAGCGTGCCTGGTCCAAGAGCTTGCGTGGTCCAGGAGCTTGCCAGGTCCAAGAGCCTGCGTGGTCCAGGAGCTTGCCTGGTCAAGGAGCTTGCCTGGTCCGGAATCGTGCCTGGTCCACGAGGGTGCCTGGTCCAGGAGCTTGCCTGGTCCACGAGCCTGCCTGGTCCAGGAGCTTGCCTGGTCCAGGAGCTTGCCTGGTCCACGAGCTTGCCTGGTCCACGAGCTTGCCTGGTCCACGAGCTTGCCTGGTCTAGGAGCTTTCCCGGTCTAGGAGCTTGCCTGGTCCAGGAGCTTGCCTGGTCCAGGAGCTTGCCTAGTCCAGGAGGTCGCCTTGTCCAAAAGCGTGCGTGATCCACGAACTTGCCTGGTAGAGGAGCTTGCCTGGTCCAGGAGTTTGCCTGGTCCAGGAGCTTGCCTAGTCCAGGTGCTTGTCTGGTCCACGAGCTTGCTTGGTGCACGAGTTTGCCTGGTCCAGGAGCTTGCCAGGTCCATGAGCTTGCTTGGTCCAGTAGCTTGCCTAATCTAGGAGCTTGCCTGGTCCAGGAGCGTGCCTGGTGCACGAGCTTGCCTAGTACAGGAGCTTGCATGGTCCAGGAGCTTGCCTGGTCCAGGAGCGTGCCTTGTCCAAGAGCTTACCTAGTCCAGGAGCTTGCATGGTCCAGGAGCTTGCCTGGTTGACGAGTTTGCCTGGTCCAGGAGCTTGTCTGGTCCAGGAGCTTGCCTGGTCTAGGAGCTTGCCTGGTCCATGAGCGTGCCTGGTCTAAGAGCTTGCCTGGTCCAGGAGCTTGCCTGGTCCAGGAGCTTGCCTGGTCCAGGAGCGTGCCTGATCCACGAGCCTGCCTGGTCCAAGGGCTTGACTGGTCCAAGATCGTGCCTGGTCCACGAGCGTGCCTGGTCCAGCAGCTTGCCTCGTCCAGGATCTTGCCTGGTCTAGGAGCTTTCCTGGTCCAGGAGCTTGCTTGGTCCAGGAGCTTGCCTGGTCCAAGAGCTTGCCTGGTCCAAAAGCTTGCCTGGTCCATGAGCGTGCCTGGTCCAAGAGCTTGCCTGGTCTAGGAGCTTGCTTGGTCCAGAAGCCTGCCTGGTCCAAGTGCTTGCCTGGTCGAGGAGCGTGCCTGGTCCAAGAGCTTGCGTGGTCCACGAGCTTGCCTGGTCCAGGAGCTTGCTTGGTCGAGAAGCATGATAGATCCAAGAGCTTGCCTGGTCCGGGTGCGTGCGCCTAGTCCAAGAGCTTCCGTGGTCCAGAAGCTTGCCTGGTCCAGGAGCTTGCTTAGTCCAAGAGCGTGCCTGGTCCACGAGCCTGCCTGGTCCATGAGCTTGCTTGGTCCAGGAGCTTGCCTGGTCCAGGAGCTTGCCTGGTCCACGAGCTTGCTTGGTCCACGAGCTTGCCTGGTCCAGGAGCTTGCCTGGTCTAGGAGCTTGCCTGGTCCACGAGCTTGCCTGGTCCAGGAGCTTGCGTGGTCCAGGAGGTTGCCTGGTCCAGGGGCGTGCCTGGTCCACGAGCTTGCCTGGTCCAAGAGCTTGCCTGCTCCAAGAGCTTGTATGGTCCAAGAGCTTGCCTTGTCCAAGGGCTTGCGTGGTCCACGAGCTTGCCTGGTCCAGGAGCTTGCCTAGTCCAGGAGCGTGCCTGGTCCAGGAGCTTGCCTGGTCCACAACCTTGCCTGATCTAGGAGCTTGCCTGGTCCAGGAGCGTGCTTGGTCCAGGAGCTTGCGTGATCCAGGAGCTTGCTTCGTCCATGAGCTTGCCTTGTCCAGGATCTTGCTTGGTCCAGGAGCGTGCCTGGTCCACGAGTTTGCCTAGTCCAGGAGCTTGCCTCGTCCAGGAGCTTGCCTGGTCTAGGAGCTTGTGTGGTCCAGGAGCGTGAGTGGTCCACGAGCTTGCCTTGTCCAGGAGCTTGCCTGGTCTAGGAGCTTGCCTAGTCCAGGAGCGTGCCTGGTCCAGGAGTGTGCCTGGTCTAAGAGCTTGCGTGGTCCAGGAGCTTGTCTTTTCCAGGAGCTTGCCTTGTCGAGGAGCGTGCCTGGTCAAGGAGTGTGCCTGGTCCTGGAGCTTGCTTGGTCCAGAAGCCTGCCTGGTCTAAGAGCTTGCTTGGTCCAGGAGCGTGCCTAGTCCAAGAGCTTGCCTGGTCGAAGAGCGTGCCTGGTCGAGGAGCGTGCTTGGTCGAGGAGCTTGCCTGGTCCAGGAGCTTGCCTTGTCCAGGAGCTTGCCTGGACCAAGAGCTTGCCTAGTCCAGGAGCTTGCGTGGTCCAGGAGCTTGCCTGGTCCAGGAGCTTGCCTGGTCTACGAGCTTGCTGGTCCAGGAGCTTGCCTGGTCCAGGAGCTTGCTTGGTCCAGAAGCGTTCCTCGGCCAAGAGCTTGCCTGGTCCAAGAGCATGCCTGGTCCAAGAGATTGCGTGGTCCAGTAGCTTGCCTTGTCCAGGAGCTTGCCTGGTCCACGAGCATGCCTGGTCCAGGAGCTTGCTTGGTGCAGGAGCTTGCCTGATCCAGGAGCTTGCCTTGTCCATGAGCGTGCTTGGTCCAGGAGTGTGCCTGGTCCAGGAGCTTCCTTGGTCCAGAAGCTTGCCAGGTCCAAGAGCTTGCGTGGTCCAGGAGCTTGCCTGGTCAAGGAGCTTGCCTGGTCCGGAATCGTGCTTGGTCCACGAGGGTGCCTAGTCCAAGAGCTTGCCTGGTCCACGAGCCTCCCTGGTCCACGAGCTTGCCTGGTCCAGGAGCTTGCTTGGTCCAGGAGCTTGCCTGGTCCAAGAGCTTGCCTGGTCCAAAAGCTTGCCTGGTCCAGGAGCGTGCCTGGTCCAGGAGCTTGCCTGGTCCAAGAGCTTGCTTGGTCCAGAAGCCTGCCTGGTCCAAGTGCTTGCCTGGTCGAGGAGCGTGCCTGGTCCAGGAGCTTGCCTGGTCCTGGAGCTTGCTTGGTCGAGAAGCATGAAAGGTCCATGAGCTTGCGTGGTCCAGGAGCTTGCCTGGTCCAAGAGCGTGCCTGGTCTAGGAGCGTGCCTGGTCAAGGAGCGTTCCTGGTCTAGGAGCGTGCCTGGTCCAGGAGTGTGTCTGGTTTAAAAGCTTGCCTGGTCCAGGAGCTTGCCTGGTCCAGGAGCTTGCCTGGTCTAGGAGCGTGCCTGATCCACGAGCCTGCCTGGTCCAAGGGCTTGCCTGGTCCAAGATCGTGCCTGGTCCACGAGCGTGCCTGGTCCAGGAGCTTGCCTGGTCCAGGAGCTTGCCTCGTCCAGGAGCTTGCCTGGTCTAGGAGCTTGCCTGGTCCAGGAGCTTGCTTGGTCCAGGAGCTAGCCTGGTCCAAGAGCTTGCCTGGTCCAAAAGCTAGCCTGGTCCAGGAGCGTGCCTGGTCCAGGAGCTTGCCTGGTCCAGGAGCTTGCTTGGTCCAGAAGCCTGCCTGGTCCAAGTGCTTGCCTGGTCGAGGAGCGTGCCTGGTCCAAGAGCTTGCGTGGTCCAGGAGCTTGCCTTGTCCAGGAGCTTGCTTGGTCGAGAAGCATGAAAGGTCCAGGAGCTTGCGTGGTCCAGGAGCTTGCCTGGTCCAGGAGCGTGCCTGGTCCAGGAGCGTGCCTGGTCCAGGAGCGTGCCTGGTCCAGGAGCGTGCCTGGTCCAGGAGCGTGCCTGGTCCATGAGCTTGCCTGGTCTAACAGCTTGCATGGTCCAGGAGCGTGCCTGGTCTAGGAGCTTGCCTGATCCAGGAGCTTGCCTGGTCCAAGAGCTTGCCTGGTCTAGGATCTTGCCTGGTCCAGGAGCAAGCCTGGTCCACGAGCTTGCTTGGTCCAGGAGCTTGCCTGGTCCAGGAGCTTGCCTGGTCCAGGAGCGTGCCTGGTCCAGGAGCTTGCCTGGTCCAGGAGCTTGCCTGGTCTAACAGCTTGCCTGGTCCAGGAACGTGCCTGGTCCAGGAGCTTGCCTGATCCAGGAGCTTGCCTGGTCCAGGAGCTTGCCAAGTCTAGGATCTTGCCTGGTCTAGGAGCATGCCTGGTCCACGAGCTTGCCTGGTCCAAGAGCTTGCCTGGTCCAGGAGCTTGCCCGGTCCAGGATCTTGCCTGGTCCAGGAGCTTGCCTGGTCTGGGAGCTTCCCTGGTCCAGGAGCTTGCCTCGTCCAGGAGCCTGCCTTGTCTAGGAGCTTGCCTGGTCTAGGAGCTTGCCTGGTCCAGTAGCGTGCTTGGTCCACAAGCTTGCCTGGTCAAGGAGCTTGCCAGGTCCAGGAGCTTGCCTGGTCCAACAACTTGCCTGGTCCAAGTGCTTGCTTGGTCCAGGAGCGTGCCTGGTCCAAAAGCTTGCCTGGTCCAGGAGCTTGCCTGGTCCAGGAGCTTGCTTGGTCCAGGAGCGTGCCTGGTCCACGAGATTGCCCGGTCCAGGAGCTTGCCTGGTCCAGGAGCTTGCCTGGTCTAGGATCTTGCCTGGTCGAGGGGCTTGCCTGGTCCACGAGCGTGCCTGGTCCATGTGTTTTGCGTGGTTCAGGAGCTTGCCTGGTCCACGAATTTGCCTAGTCCAAGAGCTTGCCTGGTCCAGGAGCTTGCCTGGTCTAGGAGCTTGCCTGGTCCAGGAGCTTGCCTGGTCCAGGAGCTTGCCTGGTCCACGAGTTTGCGTGGTCCAGGATCTTGCTTGGTCTAGGAGCTTGCGTGGTCCAGGAGCTTGCGTGGTCTAGGAGCCTGCCTGGTCTAGGAGCTTGCCTGGTCTAACAGCTTGCCTGGTCCAAGAGCTTGCTTGGTCCAGGAGCGTGAATGGTCCAAGAGCTTGCCCGGTCAAG